TCTGCAGAAGGTCTCCAAGCAATGTGAATGTGTAAGTCAACTGTCCCCAACATTGGCACTGGGGGCTGGGTTCATGAACAACTTTTCCATGCACCTGGGCCAAGGCAGGGGTTGGTTTTGGGGTGACTCAAGTATACTACATTTATTGTGCACTTTATTTCTATTGTGGAGTGTGTACTTTACTTCCACTGCTACCTGAGCATCGTGTAAGACCCCGCGCATGCACAGTTCAGAGCAGGCGCTGGGCTCCTAGGAAAACCCGCGCTCAGCCTCGGGAAGCGGTGCACACACAGGAGCCGCTGCGCTTGCTCCCCGCTGCTCACCCAGCCACAGGGTGTGGAATGGGGGTCAGGGTCGGGCCCCTGGCACAAAGGGCAAGAAAAGGGTTTCAAATGTCACAGTTTTAGCTCTTGCAACTGCATTGCTCTGTTAGGAGCAAAGGTTAAAGCGAAGGTGGAGCTGGCCCGCTGTGACCACCGCATGCCCTGCCTGCGTCTAAGCGCAGAGTCCCGCACTGCCCGTGCCTGGGACAACGTGGTGGCAGGAAGGTGGCCGGGCATTCGCCTCACCTCCTACGTGATTCACTGTCCTCAACTCACCTGCGCGGTGGCAGAAGGTCCCTGGGACTTTTCCCAGGGAGCACCTGTGAGGAGCGAGGAGGCCACGGTCCGTGCAGTCCAGCTCTGCCTTTATGACCCCTGTGATGGGTGCCACTCGTGGGGACGCCACATGTGGAAGCTAGCAGTGTGGCTGGGCACAAGCTCTCTTTTGCCCACTGGTAAAGCAGACAGTGGACAAGTGGCTCACATTTGCCAGAAGACTCAGCTTCCAGATCAAAGAGCTGAGGCGTAGAAGCTCTTTCATGATTCGTCTTAACAATGGGTAAAAATTCCTTTTCTGGAGGCTGGGGCAAGAGGATTGTGTGAGCCCAACCCTTCCAGGTCAGCTGGGCAACACAACAGATCTGCATCTCAAGAAATTAAATTTTAAAAAATTTCTCTTTTTTAGAAATACACTATGTAAAGTGTGCTATCAGGGATCATAATGACCAAAAATACTACGTGTTCATATGTGTGGGAAAAAAATAAAAGCAAAAGGAAAAAGCCCTTCTGCTCTTAAGAGGAGCACATTTCCGCAGAGCCACTTCTGTGAGCCAGCTGGCGGGCAGGAAAGGAAAGTGTGGCTCCCAGGTTAAAGAGTAAGAGTAAGGACTGCAGAGTTAGAGGCACCAGACAGGAACTCTGTGGGGACACCAGGCTGCGGGGCACCTGAGGAGCCGGTCCTCACCGCAGCTTCTGCCACTGCTCCCTTTGCTCTTGGCCAGTTTGCAGTCCCACACTGTCTCGACCTATCCCTGCCCTCCAATCTCTTCCTCTAGTGCACAGCTCTGCAGGCCAGGCTGGCTCCCATGGAGGCATGCAGGAGGAGATCAGGCCCTGGTGTGTCGCTGAGGTTGGTGCACAGGCCCGATTCCTTAGCTGCACCACCCCACAGTGTCAGGGGACACTGCAGACATCAGTGCTCGGCTACTCTTCCCAGGCTCCACATGGCACGATGTGGCCCAGCTTTCTGTCCCCGCATTCCACCATCACTGGCCCGCTGGCCACAGATCTCAGCAAACAGCCCTGGCAGGGGAACCCCACTCAGGCAGAGCCATTACGATCACCATACTGGATTCTCATCTTCAAAATGACCACTTTCAGAGAGTTACATCAAAGCAGGCAGAGTCCTCCCACATCTGTAGCTGTTCACAGGAACAGACCCTGACCTGGTGTCAAACTGTGGGAATGTAAGACTGCCACTGGAACAAGGAGCCTGCACTTGCACCTGCTCCGGTGAGTTTGCAGAGCTGTTTGGTGCCGCTGCAGGCCTGCAGGGAGAGAAGGCATAGACGGCTGATGGCCAGCCAGGGCTACACTGTGGCTGGAGCAGACGATGATCCTGGAATAAGCAGGAATGGCAGGCACTGGGCTTTCCTGGCATCTCTGGCATCTGCATCACTGGTACAGTTCTGAACGCCCAGTGCGGGGTGAGAATTCCCTTCTTCTCCCAACACTGCCTCCACCTCCCACTGTGAGAGAGGCTGGCTTGGCCCAAGACAGCTTCTCACTGGGAGAAGTACTTGGTGTTTTTTATTTTGTGTCACTCCTGACCTAGATCGCTTTTATTTTTCTTCAGTATTCGGTATTGAACCCAAGGCCTTCACACTGAGCTACACTCCGAACCCCTTATTGAATGTTTTTCTTTTTCTTTTTCTTTTTTTTTTTCTTGGAGACAAAGTCTCATTACACTACCCAGGTGCCCAAGGGAACTCAAACTTGAGATTCACCTGTCTCATCCTCCCTCAGTGTTAGGATTACAGGCATCCACCATTGAATCTATCTCTGACCTATGTTCATTTTCTTTTCTTTTCTTTTCTTTTTTTTTTTTTTTTTTTTGTCTTTTTGAGACAGGGTCTTGCTATGCGGTTCAGGATGCCCTTAGGCTCACTTTGTAGCCCAGACTGGTCTCTGAACTTGCAATTATCTGACTGCCTCAACCTCCAAGTGCTGGGATTACAGCAGTGCACCACCACATCTAGCTTTCTGCCCTAGATTCTTAAGTTTAATTGATCTAAAGTTGCTGCTGTGCCCCTTGAGACCATTTCCTAAGGACTTTGCAGGGGCCATGTTGGAAGGCCAGCGATCAGGAGAACTTGCAGCAGGTGTTGTTCAGGCCAAGATTTGGGGGATTGAATGGCACAAGTGTTGGAGCCATTGATTAGGCTGAGGACAGCCAGGTGCATCATGGGTAGGAGAGCGGGATGGGAAAGAGCATGCAGGGACAGACCGTTCTCTGGGTCCCAGGTGAGACACACAGAGTAGCACAGACTGGGACTTGGCCAGCACTCAAATCACAGGTTCACAACTCCTTGCAGCCAAGGTCCATGGGCCCCACATCCTGCTCTCTCTGCACTAAAACCTCCCTGATGAAATGAAACCCACAACGGCTTCAGTCTCCATTTTACTTGAAAATTCGCACTTGACTCTATTGATCACAGAGTTTGAATAACATCAAATATGGAAGAACATACAGCTGGGGTTCAGCCCATTGGTGAGCCTGGAATGCCGTGGGTTATCTCCAGCACCAAACAGACAAAACCTCTCCAAACCAAACAAACACAAACAATACAATACAGCTATGTGAACAAAATGGTACCAGGGCTGAGTAGAGTTTAAGGTATGGCTCCCAGTAAGCTATAATTGTGAATGCATATATTTGTATCTTTCGGGGTAACATTTAAAAAAATAAGGCACATTCTTTTTAAAAAAGAAAACTCTCCAGAGTATTTGGAGGAAGAAACTGTAAAAGAACAAAGGCACAACAGATCAGCTTGTTCTCCCTCCATCCTGAGTACAGCCTTAGAGCAGGAGGGAAGGCTCTTCACTTCCTCCTCCTACATTCAGCCTCCCCACTTCTTTCCTTTAAGGCAGCCTAAATTATGACTGATATGCAAACAGCTGTTTCGGGGGCTGTTTCAATATACACAGCTGGAGGGTGTGAGACAAAATCACCACCATAATGTACCCATACGCATCCCTATCAATTCAAAGCTTTTCTAGGCTTTATGTGCTATTATTTTTGTGTGTGATAAGAACAAGTAATGCAAGATCTAGCCCCTTAGTAAATTTTAAACTAAATTAAACTTTAGCTTAATTCACTATGTACTGCACAGATAGATCTCTAGGGCTGAATCCTTTCGCTAACTAAAACTCTGTAAAAATCAAGGTAGGAAATGCTTGTATTCTCACCATAACTTGGCAGTATGCAGTCAGTGTAGACCACTGGTGATGAATCTACTGCACATGCCCTGCAACTGGCTGTTTTTAATCACTGAAGGTGCTAAAAGATTCACCATCTCTGGTGTAGACTCTGCCCAGGAGCCCCCACGGGAAGTGCCGCTGGACCACAGCAGCCGGGACACACAGGACATGGTTGCTCTGTCCTCCTTGCACCTGCTCTGGGGCCTGGGCTTCCCCCATGCTTACGAGGCTCCTTATGCACAATGTGGAAACCAGTGCCCCAGCCTATGTGTGAGGGGAGATAACCAACACCACCCACCACAGTGCACGGGAGATTGAGATGCTTATGTGTACTTTCTTATGTGGATTAAGAAATTTCAGAGCATAGCTGAATGCTTCTAATTATAGCATTCTGGGAGGTGGAAGCAGGAGGATTGAGAGCTGAGCTCAGCCTGGGAAACTTGCAAACTTAGGGAGGTCCTGTCTCAAAATAAGAAAAATGGGCTGGGGATTTAGCTCAGTGGTATAAGCAACTGCCTGGCAAGCTCAAGGTCCTGAGTTTGATTTCCAGTACAAAAAAAAAAAAAAACTAACCTAAATATTGTCAACATAAAAAAAGTGGTTAGGGATGTAGCTTAGTGCTAAGGCATTGAGTTTAGTCCTCAGCACGCACGCAAAAAGAAGGGAATAAGAAATAGCCAATTGTCTTTGACCCTGAGACACTGCTTTGGTGCTACACCCTAAAATGGCAAATGTAATGTCTACGAAGATGTCTACCTGTCTGCAGATGCATTATTTGGAGTGCTCAGAATGTAGTGAGCAAACAATAAACAGCAAAGTGAATAAAACGAGTAATCAGGAGTCACAGAATAAATACCTCGTAAGCTCTCACTTAAAGACACAATCTGTAATGCAGAGACATCAGGAATGGCAGGGACATTACCATTCTCACATTGAAATTCATAAATACAGTACTGAGGAAAGGAGACAGCAGCGAATGGCTGGACATTCTCTGGACACTGCAAAGTTCCATGTGAGGCACACCAACAACCTGTAAATACCAGCACACAACCCTTTCCTTCCACCACATTTGCTACCAGTGCAACGACAATGAAGTGGGCCCTCAGGGCTTTGAGGAACAAACAGCCTACAGTTTCTCCAGGGCACGTGCTGGGCCCTCCCCTAGCAAACATCTGCACAGAAGGGACTGGGGCTGACCTGGTGCAGGGTTGGGGGGCTGTCGGGTGTAGGACACGTTGAACGCAGGTTCCTCAAGCAGCGGTGGTGGGTACAGGCGCCTGCGGATGAAGAAGCCAGCTCCACAGCAGAAAAGTACACCCATCATTAGGAGAAACCTGGGGAGAGGCAGACGAAGTGGGTTGGAGACGGCTACATGATTCGCTTCCCCATTTACCCCCAATTTAATCAATTTTACCTGAGCAATTGATCTTATTGGTTGGCCACAGTTTTGTCTCATCTCATGCCTGCCTGCCTTGAAAGTTCCCAAGTCTTTCCCACCTTAGACCCGCCTCACTTTGTGGTTTTGCTCTATAAAATCCCTAGAAAAAACAAAGTCTTTGGTAACCCACTCGGGACCTCTCTGTCTCCTCTGTCTCTGTCTCTGTCTCTGTCTCTGTCTCTGTCTCTGTCTCAGACAGAAGCTTTCTTTCTCTCAATAAATCTATTCTGCTCTTAACCTCCATTGCTCCTAAAACTCATTCTTGTTTTAGAGAACACAAACTCATACTGGACATGGAGTAGGCTGGGAATTTCATTCCTCTATATCAAAACCTCTGGGGTGTGGGGATTTAGCTCAAGCACAAGCACTTGCCTGCAAGCATGAGGTCATGAGTTCGATCTCCGGTACCAAAAAAAAACAAAAACAGGATGAAACTTCTGTCCAATTCATTCAAGAATCCTAGCTGGCTGTGCCATCATCAGCATCAGCAATAGGTGGAGGCCTTCTCCCCATTTCTTATTTGCACTGTACCTTTCCTTTCTAGGAAAGAGTGGAATCTCTGAGAAGGGCCAATAATAATGGACAAAACTGACTGATCAATCTGAGAAACTCTTTGCCATCTCAAGCACAAAATGGGACAGTCAGAATCCTCATCTTGTGATGAGGCCCATGAGGGGTAAGCCAGAGTTGCTCGTGGCCAAGGCTCCAGCCCATGCAGAACAAGCCTGAGAAGCACTGGCTGGTGAAGCCTTTGAGAATGCCAACATGATGTAAGTGGAATGTGGAGTAGAGAGAAAAATCAGACACCGGGTGACTCAGGGAAGCGCTGGAGTTAGCACCTCTGTATGCTCTCTTAGAATTCATGATTCATCACCGAGTGACTGTTAGCACCTGTGAGGCTTCCAGCACCACGATGAGCATGACAGAGAGGAAAATGACAGGACTCCACCCTTCCCACTGAACTGAATTTCTAAAAGGGGAGGGAGACAGTTAATGACAAATGTACACAATTAATTATTTCTAACACTGGTCAATGTCAGGGAAGAAAACAATGGATGCAAAAACAGGTTCTTTGTGTGTGTGTGTGACAGAACGTACTGTGTATGACATAGAATTTGCCATTTTAGTCATTTTTAACTGTACGATGCAGTGCACAGAGGTTTACACCAGGGCATCTATGTAGTGAGGAGATCAGAAGAGGGAGATCAGAAGTGAAGAGATTCACTGTTCATTCAGTGACAGCCAAGCTGGGTATCACAGGATGAGAAGGAAGGAACAAGATGGGGGAGCAGGAGAGGAATATCTGGGTGGGAAGAACATACAGGCAGTGGAGCCATGGAAGGCAAAATTCAGAGACAAGGCTGGACAGAAAGGCTCTGCAGCTGGAGGTGGGACAGGAAAGACCCAGTCCTAGTGGCCGGAAGAAGCCAACCTGCAGGTGTCTGGCAAAGCAGGGCCTCTCTCGGGACTACTTCAACACTAAGCCCAGCCTAACTACCTGAGTAGAAACACCCAAAGCACATAGAGGCCAGATTTGCAAACATGTTTACTTTCTCAGGAAATCCAGCTCCTTGACTACAAAATGCAGTCATTTGAGATCCAAGTCTCTTCTCCGAGAAAAGTCAAGACATCAGTCACATTGCCAGAGGGATTGCTTTTTCCTGGATGAAAATGACATCTCAGCTCACACCTTACACTAACAGGGAACAGGCAGGAGGTACTTACAGCAAGTCACATGCCAGGGACCAACTGTGGGTTTCACCACCTGACTGAATCTGCACTGAAATGTCAGGCAGAGAACTTAATTAATAGAGAGGACTCATGAAGCAGAGAAGAATGAGCTGATGGGGACCAGGAGTGACAGTACCCAGGCGGTGGGGAAGGCATGGCAGTTAACAGGAAAGTCCTTCTCAGCACGAAGAGCTGCAGATGCCCTGCAGATGTACTCTCTCCTGCCGCTCAGCAGATTTTGGAAGGTTTGCAGGCATTCACAGAGGAAGCAGTGTGCTTTTCCTATCATCAGAAGTAATACGGTTTTTTTCATTCAATTTTTTCCAACTCTGCCCTGTGCTGTGCTCAACCTGAGTAAAGCCGTTCTCAATTGTGCACATCCTGCTGATGGGAGGAGGTGCTATACAAACCCTGCTCCTCACACCCCAGGGCAGACCCCAGCAGCAGGCTCACCTGCCAGTCTTCATCCAGACTCTGTGTGCCCTGCAGATGGAACCAAGGGTGTTGCTAAACTCCTTGGCTAACCCTGAGCATTTCACTCCTACCTCTTTAGTTAAAGAGGTGTCAGGGGCTTGAGTGCTCCCGCAAAACATTTTTGTTTATGTTTGTACGTGAAGAGTACTAGGGATTGAACTCAGGGCGTTTTAAAGCTGCATCCCCAGCTTTTTAAATTTTTTTTAATTTTGAATTTATTTTGAAGCAGGGTCTCAAGCTAAATCGTTAAGTTATTGCAGGCTGAGCTGGAACCTAAGATTTTTTTCCCTCAGCATTCCCAGCATTCCCAGAATGCTGAGGTTATAGGCCACACCACACTGACTACTCCTTGTTTTATGATGAGAAGACAAAACTCACAAGTCTGGTGATGGCAGGCTATCCTTCCCATTCACCCCATCCTTTCCTCCTCTGCTGCATGAACGTTCCATCTCTCTCTTTCTGCGCCCAATCTTCCCATGCTTCCATCCCTGCAATGTGCTGTCCATGCTCTGAAGACCAACTTAAAAATCTCAGGGCATCCCCTGCTTCACTGGCAGAGTTTCTATGCTGTGTGCACAGCTCTGGCCTGTGCCGAACCCGAAGCTGCCCGCTACGGCAAATGTCTTTCAGGAAGCCAGCTATTGTGAGGGCTTCCCAGGGAACCCCAGCAGAACAGCTGGGGCATATCAGGCACCTGACATTCACTGAGAGAAGGAAGGTGGGGAACAGAGTGCAAGGGTCACATGTCCCCCAGCCAGGCTCCTCAAACTCACTTCCCCAGATGTCCTCTGCTGTACCTCCAGGTACATCTGGGTGTGGGTGTCAGTCTCAGATTTCACTGCCAGCTCTTCAGGCAGCGGATGCTCAGACATGGCAGAGCCAGCCTCACTGGCTGTGCATACTACCTGCCAGGTCACCATTTACCCTTGCTCGGGGAGGTGACCCTGTCCCAAAGGGTCAGAGTGCCTGGCTGCCAGACCAAGGTAGGTTACCAGGTTCTGACAGTTCTGGACTCTTTATTTTTCTTAATTACATCAAGCCTGATCTTTGTTGTTTTCATTTTTAGGAACATCTCCACAACCTCCTAATTATTCATGACAAACCAAAATACTTCCAAACCCTCTCAGGGTTAGGTTTCATGACCCAGACAGTGCTGCCTCCCATCCCCAAAGTCCTTGTAGGTCCCAAGGAAGCATGTGGCCTGAAGCTCAGCATGCTCTGAAACACCACCTCTGCCTCTTGGTGCTTGTCCTCTTCACCTTGAGATGTATGTGGAAGTGCTCTTGGCTGGAAGGTCTCAGGGTGAAGCAATTCGTTTCTTCCTACAGTTTCAGACACTCACAAGCAAAAAGTGGGGACACTGGCACGCCCTTGTTCAGTGGTCAGCAGTCCAGGCAGGGCTGCCTAAGCTAGTCCCAAGGGAGGCCTGGCCAGAGGCTGGGGGGACTGGTGACACCCAGCTCCCAAATACCAAAGCCCAACCAAGGAGCTGGAGATGGTGTTGGAGATGACAGCAAGAGGCCATGCCCGGCTCATTTGATAGGGAGTTCTGCCTCCCCGAAGCTTTATCTAATCAAACTCTAGGACAGCTGTCAACAGAGAAAGACAAGACCTCATAAAGCATGTAAGTAGCTGCTTTAACATACTCAGTAAAGTTTTTAAAGTCAGTAAAAGCCAAAACAGTGTGGTGTGTACCCCTAATCCCAGGGCACTGGGAGGCTGAAGCAGGAGGGTCAAAAAATTCCATCCCAGACTGATTAACTTAGCCACTTAGCAAAACACAATACCATTGTCAAAAAGACAATGTGGTTGGAAATGTAGCATAGCATAAAAGCCCTGGGTTTAAGCCTCGGTACCAAAAGAAAAATCAGTGGTAAAGTCAGTACCTTAAAGTTATTAAAAAAAGAACAAGAGAGAGAGAGAGAGAGACAGCACGGGGCCGAGGAATTAGCTCAGCAAGCACAAGGTCCTGAGTTGGATCCTGATACCACAAAGCAAAAACAGAAAACAAGGAGCATGAAGTCTTAGCCCCTAGTGGCATTCATCTGGGGGACATCACCATGAAGCTGAAGAAATGGGTGCGTGCAACAAGGCCTCTTTTGTTTTAAAAAGATCCTTTCCACATGGTATCTAAGGAAGTCTTGTTTATCTAGTGCTTGTTCTTGTTTTTGTTCCTCCTCTTTCTCCTCCTCCTTCTCCATCTTCTTCTTCTTCTTCTTCTTTTCTTCTTCTTCTTCTTCTTCTTCTTCTTCTTCTTCTGCTGCTGCTGCTGCTGCTGCTTCTGCTTCTTCTTCTTCTTCTTCTTCTTCTTCTTCTTCTTTTTCTCTCTCTCTCTCTCTCTATCTCTCTCTCTCTCTCTCTCTCTCTCTCTCTCTCTCTCTGTCTCTCTCTCTCTATCTTTTTGAGACAGGGTTTCACTACTAAGTTCAGGTTGGTCTTGAACTCATTGTGCAGCTCAGGCTGGCCTCACACTCCTGGCAATTCTCCTGCCTCTGAGCGCTGAGATTACATGTGTGTGCCACCCTGCCTTGGCCTGAAGGATACTTCTTATCCGTTTTGTCAAATGGATTCTCAGGGATCCTAAAAGGGGCCTGCTCTGAGGGTCCTGCTCTGTGGAAGGATCCCTTGTTCCCTCAGGGGGTGGCTGGACAGACTTCAGACACCTCCTGAAACTTCCTTCTAAGGGAATGGAAAGGCACAAGGACATGGGCTACTTTGAGAGCTAAGAAGAAGCCACACAAGGTGAATGATTTCCAGGTAGCAGAAACTTGATCACAAGTCATCACCTGTCCCTCAAGTTAGCTTCAGCCCCATCTCCGAAACCGGCTAAACCTCCAGTGGAGTAAGCTGTCCAGCCACCATCGCAGAGCAGCGCTCTTCTTCAGACGGAGCCTGCAGAGCTGGAAGCCAGCTCTCTGCCCATGGGTGAGATCTCAGGAAGCTGACCCAAATACTCCTGCTTTCTTGACTCAGGCAACCCCGAAGGCCACACACCATGGTGGAGGTGATGGATCTGATGGACAACACTGACAGTGGGTGAGTTCTTGGGGGCTGGGACAATGAAGGCTGGCACCCAGAAACAAGTAAGAAATGTAACCTACCAAAAATACCACAGCCTCTGGATGGAGAGGGCCCGCACGCAGCACCTGGAGCCACAGCAGTCCTCATAGGAGCGGCATCTGAGGAGAGAGGGCACAGGCCGGTTACAACCACAGTGAGGAGAGCCAGGGCAGTCTCGCACCCGGCTGGGTTTCCATGCAAGGCCTCCTTCCAGAGAGCCGTTCAGACCAGAAAATGGCTTTACTCCACTGGCTCCATGACCGGCTCCACAACAAACTACAGCAATGCGGAGCCATACCTCTGTTCAGTCTTCAGTCCCTGAGTTTACAGACAAGACAGAACCATCCCAGTGAGTCCTGCAATGCCAGAAAAAGAGCCTGGGGGTCAAACGAGGAGGCTCAGTCCTGGACTTGTCACTTATTAACTGAAAGTTGTCAACCTCTGTGAAACTCGCTGTCTTTATTAGCAAAGCATGTGGGGTGGTGGGGCCCTCCACAATGCAGGCTTCAGTTTTTAGGGCATCGTCCTCCAGAAAGATCCGACACATCACCCATATATAGAGCTAACAAGGATGGACGACCTAGGCTGCCTCCTTCTATCTGACCACACCCCACTGAGGCTGCAGGGTCCCTCGATGTGCTCAGGAGCTGTTCCTGCCCAGCAGAGCCACCTGAGAGGCCGTGTCAGGTTCCCAGGAGCCACACATTTCCTCCAGGATCTCTGCCCTGCCTAAGCCTATTTATTTTGGGTAAAGAGAAAATGCCACAAAATTCAAATGCTTGCATCGCTCACTGTGGTATTTACAGAGGAGCTTTCCCTGGAGAAATCAGCCCTGCTGGGAGGGAGGCAGGGAGGGGAGGGGCACCTGTTTCTCAATATTATGAAACAAGTATGCAATTATAACATGGGCACCTGACAGCTTTTTCTTTCTTTCTTCTATTTTATTACCAGGAATCAAACTCAGGACCTTGCACTTACCAAGGAGGTGCTTATGCCACTGACCGCTTATGCCCCGGCCCTCCTGACAGCTTTAAAAAAGTAACTGGAAGAAACATAGAATTCAACCCAAGATTTGGGGCACTGAATTTGTAGACTACCGCAGCATGAATAGGCTTTTTTAGTGTAAGGAAAATGTGTAGAGAATTACGGCCTGGGAAATATTAATCAAATGGCCTGGAGTTGGTGAAGCTGAGCACCAGCTTGCTTGACTGTTCTTTTGTTCTTTGTTGTTGTTGCTCAAATTTCCTATGGTTCTTCCAGGTTTGACTTTCTGAGTAACACATTAATTGTAAACATTTGTGTGATTTTTCAAATCAAAGCAGGCTAAGTTGCTGAGGCTCCTGGGCTTGGTTCTGCTTCTTTGTGAATGTCCAGCACCTGCTAAACCCGATTGAGCAGTCACTCCCAAACTATCACCCCCATGCACAAACACAAAGTGTACCAGATGGTATGGATATTTTCATACCCAGTCTCTCTGCAGCTCATAGATATGAACCTCTACGTGCTACCCAAACCTACCTCTATGATTATCCTATAGGATAATGACCCAAGCTAATCAATATAACTTGCTTTAACCAACCAGTGTCTAGCACAGCCACCTAAACAAGTGCTTAAAAATGTTGCTGGTTCTCATATTCCATGCATTGAAACCTCAAGGAGCTTCTAGAAATGGGAACCCCTGCTGAGGAGGAGCTCTCTTTCCAAAAGAGGAGAACAAACACTAACCTATTTAGAACAGGAGCTGTGCTAGATGGCATCATGTGCTGTGGTGACAAGCAAAGTGATGCCAGCATTGGAGGGTATGGGGGAAGGATGGCGTGGTGTGCAGCCTTGGACAGGTGTTCAGGGATAACTCCAGGAGAAGGTAACCTCTGGGCACAGGACACACAGACATCAATCTGGACACAACCTGAGAGGCAGGATGCTCTCCATGTTTGGGGGCTGGGAGACCCTCCAGTTCATTCCATAGGCCTCACAGCTACACACAGCAAAGTACAGAACAGGATGCCCAGCGTGGGATAGGGTGGGACTGGCAAGAGCCTGGCACTGCACAAGAGCACCCCTGTGCCATCTGTAGCGCTCTCATCCCCAGCAGTCTCACTCTCGTGGGCAGCTCATGCATGCATGGAAGTGCATATGGAGGTGGGGGAGCACTTAAGGGAGAGAAAGGACTTCTTGCAGTTAGGGTAGGTGGTGTCAGACAATTAGCGGTGAACAAAGGAAAAAAACAGGACTGTTTCTTGGCAGCATCTGCAAAGATGAGCATTCCTGGTGACTGTGGGATTCATGGTGAGTGACCTGGACTCCCTGGTATACACACTGAACTCTTCTCTCTGGCGTGGAGGGCCCTGTGGTAGGATGGGACAGTTACCATCACTCTGATTACAGGATGCTACGTGAGAAGGTAGCTAACATAAAGCTCTGCCAGCGCAACTGGAGACTCTGCTGTTGGCTCAGAAAGCGGCCGCCATCTAGTGCCTGCAGCTGTGATTAGCTAGAACTAGAACTGTGCGGTGACCAGAAATGTTCCCAGAAAAGCCTGCATCATTCCACAGGAAGCACAGACATCATTAAAGGACTGAAATAATACACCAAGTGGGAACACTAGGTAGAAGAATGGTGTTAGTGTGGGGTGATCTCCTTGTGTACCAGGTTGATAAACACAAGAACAGAGGTGCCAAGCTGCTGTGATCTCACTGCCGGTTGGAGAATTTGACTTACTCTATTGGATCTTATAAGGGTAAAAATCAGTTTATAAAATCAATGAGTACCATGCAATGTTTTATGAAACTATTTTTGCCACCAGGCACAAAGCTATGGGTGCCCTAGGCTGTGTCATATAGCATTTGTCTTCAAAGCTGCTGAGATGACTCCAAGTCAGACATGGACAGCTGAAGGTTCTGGTGGGTTTGGAATTGGTTTCTCTCATCTTCCTAGGAAGCTGGTTGGTCTCTGGCCAAGGCTCAGATTCTGAGTTGCTTTCCACTGTCAATAATGCTGAACTAACGTCTCTTTCTGGTCTTTTCTGTTTTCTGACTGGGATATCACCATTTTTGTTCCTAATTTTACTATTTAATGTCCTGCAATGATCAAATCCTAGAAAAGCAACTGATATGTAGACTCCAGTGGGAGTACACTGTGCTTACTGAAGGGGTCGGATGGCTCAGGAAGGTGAAGAACAGAGACAACAGACATCTGGGCTTAACCTGGCTAAGCTATTAAAAAAAAGTCCAAGGCCATTTCTTTTCCACTGCGGCACTAGCCTCTGCAGCCATGATGTTTCTTACATCTCTCTCCCTCAGCTATAATCAGAACTGCCTCAGCTTGGGGCATGGCCAGTATGAAAGGAAGCCTGGAGGCCATCCTACACTGGTAACTATGAACCTGGTGCAGAGGAGGACAGCAGCACATACCTGTAATCCCAGCACTCTGAGAAGTGAAACAAGAGAATCACAAGCTCAACTTGGGCAACTGTTGCAGTCAGGGGTTGGGAGGATAACAATTACAATCAGGACATCGAGTTTATAATATTATTTTATGATGGTCACCCAGAGTTAACACAAGAAAATGCAGGAAATCTATATGCAACACCAAAGACAGAATATTCAACCAAGGGCCTGAATCCCACAGCAATGTCCCACACGAGTCCAGATGAAGACCCAGAGCTCATGACAAGGCCTCCCTCCAACTGGAGGTCCAGAACCCACAGGAAGGACTCATGCCAGTCTCTTTTACAGATCCGTGCTGTGAAGGCCCAAAGGTCAGTGGTGGAAGCCAGAAAGTCCATGCCAGCAGGGTGAAGAAGCTGTGCTGGTAGGTTGAGGGTTCTACCTAGAGCCGAGAAGTCACACTCACAACAGGACCAGGGCTGTCCTGAAAGCACCACAGCCATCCTCAGCGACACAGAGGCCCTGAGCTCCTCCAGCGACAAGCACAGTCGAGTACCTGCCAGGAAGCCAGCGTGACGAGTTCATCCTAGAGACCAAGTGGCACAGGTCTTCCCCTCCAAAACCAGGAAGCAATGCTCGATGTGAGGACCAGAGCTTCTCTAGGAGAACCAACAGCTCAAACAGCAACATGTAGGAGAGCCCACCATGCCTCAACGCCTCAATGCACATTAATCCCTAGCTTCTCCATCTCTAAGTCTCTATTTATGCTGGCAACTTTCTTCAGGTGGAACATCTACGCTCAGTGCCCTGCTGATTTAATTCAGCTGGCGTTAACCACCAGTTCTTAATCCATAATAGCAACTTAATAAGACACTATCTCAAAATAAAAAATAAAGAAGAACTGGGGTTGCAGCTCAGTGTAAAGGCCTGAAGCTCAATACCCAGTACCATAAAAAGAGGGATAGGGCACACACACACACACACACACACACACACACACACACACAGAAGGGCACGCACAGCAGTATAGGAGGTGTACAGAAATAAACACAGTGATGGAATCACCTTTCAGGAGCTGACTCATTCAAATGCTTCATTCTCTTAATTACCTGCAAGGAAACATTTGCTGCTTCAAAACCTAAGCCCCACAGCATCCCGCTTTAGTGTCTTACAGGAAGGAGATGAAAAGCCAGCTTTCCTGTGCAAGTAGAGTCCTGACCCAGAATTCTGAGAGATCTGATGTATCTACTACATTTAAGGAACTCAGTGTATACCAACTACTCACTCAGTCTGAGATCGCATCTGTCTTAGAGTATTGGATGGATTGCAAATTCCTGACTCAACTTCTTCTTGGCTGGCAAAAGTCAACATTCAAATGGTCAAGCTCACATTTTTGGATACAGTTTTGAAACGTCAGCAGCAAATATACACTGTCAACTGATCATCTGCTTTCCTCTCTCCACACAGAGCCTGCTTTCTACTCCCTTCTCTGGCTAAAAGCCCCTTAGCTCTGGGTGTGCAGCAGGCTCATCTGAACTTCTGGTCCAGTTCCCAGCACGGTGCTGGAAAGTGCCAGCCACTCAAAAGAGCACACCTAGGACCCCTTTCCCTCTGCTGCTTTCTTTCAATGAAGTTGCTGGCAAATTGGGGCCTTAAGAACATAACTGCTGACATTTCAAATAGCTGCAATTATAAACAAAATATCAACTCTAACACTGAGCTTAATTAAA